AACAAACATTATGATAATTATTTTCAATTAAAATCGGGATAGTATTCAATCATATTCATTATAATAATTTCCTATGAACTACGCTACAATTTTTAATAATGTTTTATTAAATATATTTCCGTTGGTTTCGATTCGATGCCATATTATTTGTAAACAAAATGAGATTGTCATTTAAATGATCTCCGAGAAAGTTCCGAGAAATTGTATTTTATTTGTTATTTCATAAAGTAGACGAACTGAGAAATCACAATTATGTCATTTGTACATGCGATCTGTACGTATATACGATGTTATAATAACCACAAATGATTGATATAATAATATTTGTGAATAATCATATATTGTGAATTGGCTATCCGCTCCGAATTTGCACGGGTGATTTCTGGATTTCGACAACTGCGCCACCTGCCGGGTCCTATTGTCAATCTAAACCATTCTCGAGACAACTTAATCCAGTCGTTTAGGAGTTGTCACATGCACACGGACAGAAGAATTATCTATATAAAAGGTAGTAAGTGTGATGTGTCTCTGCGTGCCGCCAAAACTTCTAAGCTAATTTCGCGGCCCCATGGTTATATGGTGTGATTACCCTCCACCCCCCATTCATGAAGAAGGTATTGTTTTGGAACTGCATGTGTTAGTTATGAAGAATAAAGGATATTGTTATGCAAGAAGCTTATTTTTTCGCGTAGACTTTTAGTTTACAGCGACATCTATGAATTTGCCGAAAACTGTTTTCATTGTGTAGATAAATATTGCTACTCGTTAATAGATGTCGCCACAGTTCCAAAGACAATACGTCATTGAAAAATGGATCGAGTGTGTCAGTTCTTTTACTAAATTAAATAAATATGTAATACGAATATTATTATTTAACTTTGCTATATTTGTCTATAATTTCTGAAAGTACATTTTTTTTTGGTTCTATTGAATAGGACCTAGCTGGCATCGTCTGACCGTAGGGAGGATTTTGCTACTTATTATATATTGATTGAATCTGTTTTAAAACAAGTCTAACTTAACTGTGGATAACTTTGTTATTATTTTTACGCAATTAATGCAGTTTTGTATCAAAATGCCGTTGACGGTCTGTTGTACGTACAGATGGTTTGTGCTCAAAGCACAAAAGATGCGAAGCACAAGTTGAAACATTTCAAGAGATTAGCTTTAAGTTGAACAATGATTTATACTTTGACACATGCAATATATTGATTTATTATATCTTCTTCTATCATTGTAACCCCTTTTGGCGTTTTTAATTTAATTAATTTTGTATGTCTGATATACTAATGAAACCGTGGAGTTTTGTTAGTGCAATCATTTTGATTTATCAAAGGCTTAAGAAAACATCTCAAAAACTATAAGGCATTGTAAATTTTCGTCGTCCGAGTCGCACAATTTTACGCACACTAAAGTAATGTCACGATTTAATAGACAAGCGACATAGTCTGGCGTGGCGTGGTGTAAACCAAATGTATATATATGTCGCAGCTTAATTAGCCTTTCAGTAAACAGCCTAGCCTAGTGGCCTGAATGATGTTCCGTCGATGCGTCTAAGACAACATTGCGACTATAATATCAGCGACAGTAGGTTATGGTGCGTCTGGGGTGGCCTTTGGGCTACCATAGAGCTGAGAATGAAATGCTGTGTTAGACGCATCGGCTGAAACGCATGTACTGAATATCATTCAGGCCGCTAGTTAAACGGAGCCATTTAGTAAAAAGACTAGGCTGTTCGTTGAACGGCTAATTAAGCTACTTGACTGAGGACATATATAATATATAAATCTTAGTACTTGCAAGTGTTGCGAGAAGGTAGTGTTCGTCTGTATATGTATAGTTATTTGACAACAAGACAAGAAGTTTAACTTTGAAAGTAAATAATATTAAACAACACTTTAGTATGTGATCTTTGGAAAAGGCAGTAGTTGATCATAGCTACGTTTTGAACAGATAATATAAATATACTGTTTTTCAACTGATTATTTATGGATATTAAGAACATAGCGAATTGTTTTTTTATAATAAAACTTGTCACTATCGCCATTAAATACCGTGAAATTCGATGTTTATTTTATATCTATGCCGTAACAAGAACGTCTAGCACGGGAAATTCATTTGTCACAGAAAAATAGTACTTATTATCAGTACCACACGGCCTTTATATCCTAAACAGAATATTAAACCGTTACTATTAACATTTTTACCTAAAAAGATTATCACGAGTAAAATAATTATTTGAACGAAGATATTGACGTGTACACAGAGATACAGAGTTCATTTTACTGGGTTAAGCTAGTTATAGTTATATAGAAGGGTTTCATGAGTGTAGCTGGTGGAAAACCCTGGGAAAAAACTGAGTCGTCGGCGACACTGATATAACAAACGGCATAAATATTATGTGATTCATCGCTAAAATATCTGCTACTCCCATGAAAGTGTTAAAAAAAGGAGAGGCATTGATAAATTTTCAACATGTGACAAAATAATTGATGCAAATTTTCGTTGTGGTAACATTTTGATTTTGGTTAGTATGAAATAACATAATTTTAATTCGTTTCAGTATTTGTTCGAATTTTAAGCGCGGACCTCCGAGCATAGAGGCCGGCTTTTTTATTTAATAATTTTAGTTGATGGATGGATGACGCGCTATTGTTTACGATTTATGTTTTAACTTAAGCCTTTTTGTCTTAGATAGGTTATAAATAGATGTTTAAATATAAGGCAGATACGCAGACTTAATCAACTGCACACCGAACACGCTGGAATGTCGTTTCAATACTATGCTTATTACATTGTGACTACCATTATAATATACATTTATTTTATATGTAGGTTCATCTATCGCGCTCAATTGTCTATGGTCTGTTTCGTGTCTCGATTAAAGGCGTTATTACAAATTATATACATAACTTTATACAATACTAATTGATTAATTCGCATACGAACAATATGATTTTTGTTATTCTCATTTGAATCGTGAATGTATCGTATGGCATATCAATCAATTTGCTCCCACTTTTTATTAATGTTTACACCCGATTATAGCATTTTGTAAGTTTTTTTTAAATATAATCTTTAGGGCAAATTGATACATACACATACACGCATGCATCTAATCGTCTATGTAGGGATATTTCGCATTATGGGCATTCTTTTATCTGTCCAATGAGGAAAAACTTGTAATTTTTCGATATATGTATGACACTATAAAGATTTTTGGCGCCAATAAACTCTTTAAAATTATAGGTTATATCTATTCCCTTTAAAACAATTTTTTTTTGTTGCCACGACGATGCTTTATAATTAATAACAGCGGTGTTGGCGCGCGTTCACATTGGACAGATTAAAAAATGAAAATCGAAGTGAAGCTATGGTGTGCTAGTTCTACGCATAGAAAATAAGACTTTTTTAAACGATAACAATTTTTTTCTACTATAACGGCTTCTTTTCCTATCGATGTACGATAACTCTAGAATTATATTATAATGTATTATGTATATTTATATTTATTGGAAAGTTTGACGTCTTCTTGTTTTGTTTCTATTCAGACCAATTTTTCTCACTTTTACATCGTCTTATTGGAATGGACTGCCATATTTTAACTTTAAAACTGTAATTTATATACTTAAATGAGAGCTATTTACATCCGGACTCAAAAGATTTTTAGTGAATTTGTGCGGAACTCAACTAAATACTAACTTGGATCTGGTAGTAAAAAAAAGAAACGCGCGGGATGTCATTATGTCAAAATGAAATTGGAAGATACGGATGTTTAGAAAATGTTTGTCACTAAAATCTTAAAATATTCCTTTGACACCCATTCGAAAAAACAATGGAAGGATGATTATGTTAATTTTTATTTGCTAGTCCACGTCTTTGATATGTTAAAATAATTATTCTTAGTCGTGTAACACTAATTATAATGTATTGTGTAATATATTTTTTTTAGTTACTATCAATAAATTAAATTTTGTTTAATTTATCTGTACGTTTCTTTTCTTGTCCTGCTTAAGGTGTGAATGTTGTAAGTAATTACACATGCGTTTATTAAATACATTTTACAATACAATAAAAATATACGTGTTGTTTTTCTTAAACTATCCTTTTTTTTAATACAATGTAACAGGCATTGTAGGATTCATCCATACCTGACTTATAAGTAATAAACAAGCCACAATTCCCCTTATGGTTTGTGACAACACCAGCTTCTGGGCAATAACGAATGGGTCAGCTCGACTGGAGAATGACCACCGCTCTCACAGAATACCAGCTAAAATAGCAGCTTAATACTGATGTGTTTTGTATGGTGAGTGTAGCGATCCGGAGACCCTTTTTTTACTGGAAATAAGTCATTCCATCTTAGTCCTCAGGGGTCACAACACATCTGCATTTTGATTCTTAATCGTGGATAAATGTAGATGTCTATGGGCAACAGCATCCATGTACCATAAGGTAGACTGCTCGTTTGTCACCCTTATTCTGTAAAAAAATTATATATATTGTAAACCCTAAGGGTGATTGTCCACCGCTCCCGTCACCGGAACATTAACGAGAACGAGATTATTTCTGGCCGAGATCAAGATAACGTGACGGCGATCGTTTATCCACCGCAACTGTCTCGATTGTTCAGCTGTCGTGTCGTGCGTTAAATTTCTTGGGCACTTTCATAAAATACAATATATTTTTGATTTAAGTAGTCCAAACAATATACCTTGAAAATAAAAAGAGGCGCGGTGCGACGTCACGGCGCCTTTGGATGGACAAATTGCCGGTCTATTCTAATTCTAAACTTCGGCGGCGCACATACAGGTATTTGCACGATCTACGCGGCCAAAATTATTTTAATACTTAATTGGTATCTAAACAAGGTAAATAAACAAAAAAAAAAAAAAAATTTTTAAAAAAAAAACTATATTTTCAAAAAAAAAAAAATAAATTTAAAAAAAAATATAATATTTAGATCGCTGTATTGGTACAAAGAAAAAAACACAATAATGCTAAGTTTCTTCGTCGCTCTCTGATGAATTTTCAGATAATATGTTGGATTCCGCAGATACAAACATGGCTAAGGTTTCAGGCAAAAATGTTTCTACTTTCCTTTTCTTTACAGTTCGCATGCTACTGAGCAAAGGATCTGAACTGAGCAGAAGGCGATTAAAAATATCCTGATTACAATCTTTTCTGGAAAATTTCCTCGCAAAATCTTGTCGGAAACATCTAAAATGTTTATTGCGAGCCTCAGCTGCTTCCTCGGAAAGCTGTCCGATTGGTAATAATGCCTTTTCAATTATGACTGCGTCATGGACTAAAATCTTGTGCATTGTTGGCGTCATAGGATGTCAATCATATAGGTTCACGTAAATACGAGCAGTTTCTATAGCATACTTTTCATATTTCACGGGATCAATTTTGAACTTGCTTCCAATATGACTTTTAGTCTATAAATTAGTTCATAATTGATACCAGTTATTTCAGCGGCTAATTTGGGGTTCTCAAAGAACCTTCTGCTGGTATTTCCATCATTAGTATTCCCAAAATTGGATTTAGGCATAGGTATCTATTATTAGACCAGTCTCAGTGCGAAACCTTGTTTGTATCTCTTTTTTGGTTTGATCTTCTAGGTCTTTTTCCTCTTTAGATTTTCTTCCCCTGTATTTTTTCACCTGAAGTTTGTAGGCTAAATGTAGGATACATTCAAATATCCGAATTCTTGCGTGTAACCGATATGCCGAATTCAAGGGCTGCAAAATTCACTTCTCTCGTATAGTCCAATTTATTAAAATCTTTCGAGGTTGCTCCACAGATGTAGCACCTACTTGTAGACTTTGTGCCTGTGGCTGCATTGCAGACTTTTCCGTCTACCATAGTCATTATAAAACTGTGCTTGACTAAGAATTTTTTCCCTGCTATGTCGACCTCTGTTGGGACTAAAGACCTAATAGCGCTTTTAACGTGTCTTATTTCTTCTTCAGTGACATCATTAGTTTCCTTGATAAATTGGAATCTTATTGGTCTACAAAATCGCGGCGAAGAGGGCGTTGGATTATTCCATAAAACTTTTTTATTGTTATCTCCACAAACTAATTGTAGAGGCACGAAGCAGCTTTGGAATATGTTTGAGTCGGAATCGATATCACTTTCTAGTTTTTGCTTAAACTGTGATTGTTGGGACCCATCGCAGCCCCATTTATTAATTATAGTTAAGCATTCACGCTCTTGCTTATTTAAAGTTATCAATACCTCTTCTAGGTATTCCGATAATGTATCTTTCCTTTTATGTATGTATGTATTTATAAGAAGAAGCTTTATTTATTTATAACATAAATAAGTAAAGCTCGACTGTCGCTTATAGAGGTATAGATAAGTAGCAGTCTCACTTACGGAGGTCTATGAGGGAAAAACGACTCTCTCTTACAGAGGTTTCTGTTTCTCGCTAATAGAGGTTTTTGGAGCTTAAAATGACGGGTCCTGGCTATTACTCTCACTTATAGAGTTTTCTCACTTACCCAGGTTTGACTGTATATACACATCAACTAAAAGTTATTATATCCTAAATGGTTAGTATTAAAAATAAATATCTAAGAATAGGTCTATTAAGCGCCAGATCTCTGAATACTGGGCAGGATGAATTTCTTGTGGCGTCCGTAATCACACTGATATATTAGCTATAAATGAAACGTGGTTAAAAGATGGAGAAGATGAATTTGCGCCTATAATACCAAATTATAAGTTTGTGCATAGAGGTAGGCAACAAAAAAGGGAGGAGGTGTAAGCTTCTATATTAAGCAGGACATAAATACTAAAGTACGGCAATACCCAGCGTCGTCTCTAGAGCAGATGTGACTAGAAATTCAACTCCCGGGAGCTTCAATGGCCCTTGGCACGGCCTACAGACCTAACAGTGTTGGTGTTGCAGAAACACTGGACGCTCTGAGTGACTCCCTGAATTCAATGGCACAATGCGATTAGGTACATTTGCATACTTGGAGATTTTAACGTAGATATGACTAACAAACATTACAATAGAGCAAAAGATATAATGCAATTCTGCTATCAACATTACCTTGAACAACTCGTCAAAGAACCAACGAGAGTCACTGATCAGACTGAAACTATTTTAGATCTCGTCATGACTAACACTCCCTCAAGATGCAAAAACATTAAACTTATACACAATCGTTGTTTTAGTGATCATGCATTGGTGCTGTTAGATTTGACATAAGAAAACCAAAATTTTATAAACAAGTAAAATAACAGAGATTACTAAGAAATATTAATTCCGAAGCTTTCGCAAGAGATCTGAAACTTATACCCTGGGACTCTATCTATAATCTAGAGAACGTAGACGAAATGGTTCAAACTTTCAACGCATATATGAGTCAATTATTTGACGCTCATGCACCTGTCCGTACGCTGACATAAGGGACAAACCAAAGCCATGGATTACAGATATGTTGCTATTTATGATGAGTTTACGTGACGATGCGTTAGAAAAAGCACAGAAGGATAAAAAAGATTGTTCAAATGAATTGAAATAATACTAGTTTTTACGGAATGTATCGCGTATATTTAACTTTTTAAATACCCGACGTTTCGAGAGCTTCCCGTGACCATGGGTGCTGTAAAGCTCTCGAAAAGTTAAATATACGCGATAAATTCCGTAAAAACTAGTATTATTTTAATGTGTAGTGTTCGCGTAAATATAAGAAATCATTATTGTTCAAATGAATACTACCGAACCCTTAAAAATTTAGTCACAGCAATCCGTAAATGCGAACGAAAAGCTTACTTTAACCATTGTATTAACAACAACTTAAGAGA